TAAAAATTATTAAATGTTACTATAAAAATGGCGATTCTGCTGTATCAACGTTTAGGGCTTTACGAGCAGATTACGGTCGACATAATCGACCCACAGAGAAAACAATTTCGAACACAGTGGAAAAATTTGAAGAGACTGGATCGGTTACTGATGTTCTAAAGCCTGTGCATCATCGCAACATTCGTTCAGCTGAAAATATCGCTGTTGTTGCTCAAATTGTGGAGGAAGACCCGAATTCGTCGATTCCCCGACGTGCTCAACATTTGGGCTTGTCTTACGGCTCATTCTGGCGAAATTTGCAATTGGATTTGAAGCTCCATCCGTACAAAGTCCAACTGACTCAAGAACTTAAGCCTCAAGACCATGGGCAACGCAGAACATACGCTGATTGGGTGATGAGTGATGACAACAAGCCGTTGATGATGATTTTTCGAACCAAATTTTCTTCAGCGATGAGGCTCATTTTTCGCTCGCTGGTTACGTGAATAAACAGAACAGCCGTATAAGGAGCTCTCAAAATCCTCAGGTGATCGCAAAAAGGCCTTTGCATCCTGAAAAAGTGACCGTATGGTGTGCATCCGTAAAGTTATGACCGATTTACGCCAACAATCCKYAAAKCCTTGACCAACTGAAAGTATCCGWGAAGTTATGACCGGTAATGTGCCGAAAAGTMATTCAAAATTACCTCAAAACGATTGAGGCCTGAAGGAGGTCCCGTGGAGGACATTTAAATGATATTATTTWTCACGWATAATGGCAAGTTTTAATCTTTTAACATTTTCGTCTCCATCTGAATATTTTGTGTGTTTTCTTACTCTACTTTCCCAAGCATAAAATGAATAACCCTGTATAACTCAGCCATTATTACTCTCTGATTACTTATGACCAATACTGTCTAATAAATAAATTAATTATTAAAGTAATGCAATCTCTTTTTCTTTTACAGCTAATGGCTGAATAATCTGGTAATCTTTTTTAATTCCCTCACAAAGAAGCAGAAGCTGAAAAATCTTTTAATTGCTTTGCCTGTTCTTCCTTAACAAGCATTCTTATATTAAAAATACCGTTTTCGTCATTGTGCTTTGCAAGGTACAAAAAGTTTCTTTATTAAATCTTATTTTAATTTGCATATTACAAACAGCACATCTTTAGCTACGCGGCTTACCCTCGAGATTGAACGTTTTTCAAGCACCCTGGCCAGAAATGGCTATAAGCATGCTGGAGAATTGAGTTTATGTCTGAATTGCTCTAACAATTTTAATGCTGAAGCTACAAAAAACGCGATTAATGCTAAAAATGCAATATGTATTCCAAAACAGTTCTTAACATTACAAATGTGCATTCTTTGTAAATAAATCGGACTACCGACACATTCGCTAATTAAGCTCTGTATTTACGAGATAAATCGCATTTGCTGTAAAATACCATTTTAATAAATTTCGAACAACGTGCGTACTCTTTCAAAACCCGAATTAAATGGCGCAAAAACACTCGTTCAATTGCAATAATTAATTCTGTATCGCGACTACACTCAGTGAATGATCATTAGTCTCGAAAATAAATCCATAATGATACTAATTTTGATGGCAAACATTAATTGCTTAAACTTTAACATAATATGAAACAAAAGACGTATACACAATGCGAAAAATAAATTTTTATTTGCAAATGTTATGGGCGCCTCGAATCAACTCAACGTATGCAGTTTGAATAGAAATTGACCCTCGTTGGTACAGCCAGCATACTAATCTATAACTAAATTTCCTGCTATTATTTTAATAGAAATTAGACGGCTGCAAACTAATAGAGAGTCCCTGAAAATTACAGGGAATATATCATACTCTATACGAATTATATCCAGCATGTTTAAACCACCAAATTTCCTAATCCTGTCGAATTAGACATCTAATTTACCACCATATATTCAATAGTAAACTGAGTTAACTTCGTGAGAAAAAAAGGCTCATTGTTAATTGGTTTTAATTCATTTGGATTTAATATTGTTCCTTTATTGATGAAAGTATTTCCGGAATTTTCAGGCCCGCAGCCCAACTAAAAATATGGCAAACAATATAAAATAATATTCAACCAATATTTGCAAATGAATAAATTCTGGACCGGTGGACACAATAAAAACCAGTTTGCCGTAAACAAAGCGCAATCAGATCACCTATTTTAGATGTCCAAATGAGCCACAAGAAAATTTCCATTATTTATGTAACTTGTAAAATGTATGTTTACTTATTTAAATAAGTCAGAAATTACCCATTTGAAGTAATGTCATCCCTTTAACAGACTAGTTATATGAAAGGGCCGAATTATTACTAATATTAACAGACAGTATATTTTCAATTTGTTTTTTCGAAACACGAAAATTTCTTCGCTTCATAGCGTTTGTTGAATTTAGCTTAAACTAACCGAAACGAACCCAAACTGACCCAAAGTAACCCAAGCAAACCCAAACTTGTTCTGGCTCTATGCTCAACACCGAAAAATAGGATAATGGAAAACTGTAATACTGTGACGAAAATATATAATCATGTGCAAATAACAGGTAATTCTGTCACTGTTTTGTTGTATTAAATAACAAAGTGTTTCTAAGCATTAAATGCGATCGGGGGATATTTGTTTTCGAAACGATAACTGCCTGGGGAAAAATTAAATTATTTAAGATATTTAAATGGGTACATTATCGATGTCATTTTGCCTCAAAGTAACCCGTTGTATAAATTTTCAATTGGTTCGCATTTCCTTGACGCTGCCTTATTGAATTCCCTGTTTTCTTTCATTTCCAAGGAAATTAAAATGTAAAATTAAATTTCAGCTTTGTCGCTTCCAATAGAGGTATTATGTTCCTAATGTATCCTACATTATTTTTTTGGCAGGAGTTATTTCCATAATGTTTGCAAAACTGAACACAGTTTAAATTGAGAGAGCTGATTAAGTTCATATTTACATTATCTTCGTCCAACTGCATTATTAGATTATATTTTAGCAGTAAGTTAATGTTTCGTGTTACTTAATAATCATAAATTAGAGTTAGCAAATCTGGTTAGAATAATGGCTTTAATTTTAATTTTAAATTCTCATTATAGCACTTTTTTCCACGGTGATTAAAACGAAAAAATAAGCCAGATTAACACAGCGCACATTTCATGCAACGATAGAGTAATTTAATTTTTGACAAATTCGTGTTAGTAAGGAGAATGTATGGCTTAGAATAAATAAGTCAAGAATGATTTATGCCATTTAACATTATCCATTTGAAAAAACCATACTATTTTATATTTGGCGCGAACATTTGATATATTCACTTTTGCTTTGTAAGCAAAACACCGGGGCCATTATTAAAATATACAACAAAAGTCATTACTCAACAATACAGCTTAAACAAGTCCGTCACATAAATATAAAATTAATTTAAATTTATTTGTACTGCATATCATGAACAGCAAAAAGTTATTATATTGGCGAATATACAATATGACCAGTTTAATGTTTATATTCATTTTACGACAAAATATGTTTAGAATAAATATGTATGTTTACTTTACGGTTAGGATATTTTATTCAACATAAAGAATGTACAAACGCACAAATAAACATTGGATCAAGTAGATCTGTGATTATTTCATTTCAGATGAGTATAACTCGGTATCTGTATTTTGTATCGAACCGCTGGGATTTAGAAATTTGCCATCAAGAGCTTACAGAGTTTATTATCAACACCAAAATATTAATTATTATACGGCCTGAGTGATATACGGTTAGAAGACAAAACAGGATAAATAATAGTTAGAATAAAGTAGCTGCTATTTTGGAACTCACCGCTCGGTCTCCAAGATTCCTGACCCTGCAATGCAAATGGGCCGTTTGGCCAACAGTAGTGGTGTATTCTCTCTTTGTCGTATTATCAAAATACGGTTGAGAGAACGGTTGGTCCCAGTAAGGGACGATGTGATCCGAAACGCCTTCAGCTCGGTCTGAAACAAAAAAAACTTCATTAATGCTAGTGAACGAACTGCTCCGCTCTATTTATGCTGCACTAAATCTCGACAAAGAGAAAACCTAAATGAATAGTTAGAATAAAATTATGTATTTGGTTGCGGGAATTACGTCAACAAACACTACTTTATGCGCTTTTTATCCTATTCTAGACCAAGTGTGCATCCCCATCATTTTCAATTTGGAGAATTTTAGTCACAAAATAGGCGATGCGATAAACGCTCAAGAGTCACGACTTATTTGCCAAAGGAACTGGATACAGTTCTCGCTTAAATCTCGTACTTTAAATTTTGCATTTTTATACAGAGTGTTCCGCCGGGAAGCAGCGATCGATGTCTGGAAAACTGTAATTAGGAGACTTTTGAAAATGGGACAGTGGGACGAAGTCATCGGGGCTACACTTTCGGATTTCCCGGAAGTAGGTATCAACTTGCTTATTTTAAATGGAACATCCTATATATTATTAGAATTTTGGATTCTGCTCGAAATTCTAAATATATATCCTGTATAATATT